AAATTGATAGGAGGGGGGGGGGGGTCCAAAAATCGTATACTAGGAAATTACCCATTGTCCACAATGCAAATGTATTAATTCAAGATAATTCTGAAATTGTAGCCCTCGTTCCATCTGTCAAAGATAAAATTAATTGTATTTGCGATATTTATAATTTTGATGATGTTACTGTTGATGATATAAAAAATGTAACATTTACAGAATATAAAACAAATGTAGTAGAGTATGTATCAGGATTCGTGGTTAAACAAATATTACGGAAACTAAATTGTAATCTTTGTGTTTCTTTCATTAAATTCAACCAGCCTGAATCAATTACGTTAACAAAAACCAGAGGTTTTGGAAATGTTCTTACATATTCAAACCCATTTGTGTTAAAAATAACTGAAACTTCAGGAAAAAATTATTGAAATTGAGCTGAAAGAAAAAAAATTGGCTGACTAAAAAGTATTATGTTGTCTATCTTATTTTAAAAATAATCACCAATTTTGTTAGTGTCCATGGTAATTGCTTTAAGACAATGAACTCACAAAGCAGGTGATATCCTGTTATACGTGTATTCGTATGAAACATCATGCAAAATTACGAAATGAAAATCTAAAAAAAAAACAGATTTCATTCAAAGCTGTCGAAACTTATTTTACAAAAGAACCAGTAAAGTGTTTTCTCTAAGATAAAATGTTAAATTAATGTTAATAAAGTTTTCTTTTCTACTTGTTTTTTAATATGCAATTATTCTACAGTACAGGGTTACCCACAAAAGGATGATACTTTAATGAAGACCTGAAACTCTTTCAGCATAACATTTGCAAAAATTTTTATAATCTGATTTAGGCCTAAATATGTTACCTGCTATAATGATTCATTCGGTGATTTGGAATAACGAGCATACGGAGATTAATGTAAAGAGAAAGACTAAATTAATTCTGTACTGTCAGTTGTCTCTAAAATTTCCTCCAAACTCTACAGTTTCACAGTGTCTGCAGTGGTTTTTTCATAAATGGTCCTTCACATTTTAGGGAGCACCAGAATCTTGTAAACTAAATAGTCGTTAATCTTTATGGGTACACAAAGTATAACAGTTTGTTTAACTGTGTTTACAAGTCTAACTAACCCATCAAACATGAAACATAATTAAATTTCGACCTTCCCTTCCAGAGTTTTATGGGTCCAACTGTGTAAACTGAATTCAAAATATTAAGTTTATCTCCATCCTCAATTTTGATGGAAAAAAAGTTGAACCATATGTTGATATCTTGAATATTTCTAAAATATTGGCTTTCCCTCTTTGATTACCTGCAGGCTACAATTATAGGAATATGTTTTTTAATGAAAAGAAAATTTTAGATTGATTTTTATCCACGTGTGCATGACAGGCTATCAGAGAATTGACTTAAAGAAAATCAAATAATTTTAAAGAAAATTTTTTTATAAAATAATGTTCCAGGGCCCAAAAGGTTATATAGCACAAATATGTGAAGTACACCTGCAGTATGGAAACAGTACAACAAAATGGCCGTTTTACACTTTTTTCTAGTAAATTCCTCTCTATATATTCTATTCTCTATGGTTATAAAATATTTGGATATTATTTTGAGTTAAGACGTTAATATATCTACAGAATAGCACTGGGTAATTTCTTAGAGAACGACTTTTAGACCCCCCAATAGAAAAGTAAGATTA